AGGATGCTGTGCACACAGCATAACCCGAGCGCGATCAGGATGCTGTGCACACAGCGTACCCCGAGCGTGATCAGGATGCTGTGCACACAGCGTACCCCGTGTACAGTCAGGGTGCAGCATGTCCCGAAGTGGTCAGAGCCTTTTCCCCAATCACCATCTCACAGAGACTACAGCCAAGAGTTTTCTTTTTCGATCATAAAGTTCTTGGATTCACAAATAACATCTTCCTCATTTTTGTGTGTCCCAGGAGCAAATGCAATATCTGACGATCCACAATAGGGGCAGCAATTAGCTGTGTTTTGGGTAATGAAATGGTTTTGGATGGAAGGCTTTATTTATTTATTTATTTAATTGTTTTTAGTACATTAGATGAGACGGTACATCCATCCTCCCCCTACCCCACCCCTGCGCTTCTTCTTTTATCTCACATTGTTGTAGAAATCCTGAGGCGTGGCACGTGTAACATAGACCTTGTTTCAGATCATTTAAAACTGCCTGTCACGTCAGTTTGTGATTTCTCTGTGAATGTATTAAGGCTCGCTGAATAATAATTACGAAAAAAAATCATAAAGATAGGATTGAGGTTCATTTTAATTGGAGAGAAACAGCTCTTTGTTAGAAAGCTACCTAGATCTTTCTTATTAAATTTCAGCATATTTCCCTGAAAATGAAGATCTAAACTATGTTGGATATATCGTAAAAAACAACCCAAACAAATCAAAACACAATAACCACCGCCAAGAAAAAGCACCAGCAGACATGACAGACAAGTTATGAACGATTGCTGTGTTCAGCAGGTTTTCAAATGAACAGTTTTCTCTTTGATAGTATCGGTTAACTAGCTATATTTCTTCATCTTCATAAATGCCACAGCTTAATTACTTTAACTCCTTTTAATCATCTGAGAGATCAGGAAGTATTTCCTGGTTAAAGTGCTCCCTCTCGTGTTCATTGACCATATTGCAAGTGATCCCGTCAATGACTGCAATTGTGTTTAAACCGCGTGGACACAACAGAACAGCAGAATATTTAAGATGAGCAAAATTTCACCTTTCAGTTAAAACTTAGAAGCAGAGAAGATGACGTCATGTAGGAAGATAGGAAGAAATACTTGAAAACGCCCTTAGCATCTATGAAACAAACAAAATAATTACCTGCCTCCACTGCTCACAGCTTCACCTCCTCTCTGATAAGTGACTGAAACGTGACAGAAAAAGGGAACAGTTAATACGCATATTGACAGACCAAAATGTATTACAGTCATGAGCACCTAAGTAAAAGGGAATGCTTTCCCCTTCCTACCTGGCAGCACTGCAAGTCCTCACAGGAGAGTAACAGATAACAGATTTGACCAAGATCTTATCTTGTTTAAGGTCACACAGTACATACCAGCCATTCTGATGTTCGCAATGTGCCCACAGGGTTGAGAACTAATGAAAGCCCCAAATTCGGTGCATTCATTCAAATCTAACTATTACACATTCTTAGATCCTTCTTATAGCGCCCATGATTTTCTACTTCAAATTTATTCTGAGATCACATAATACTACGATTTGGTGCAAATGAAATCATTACTCTGGGAAAACAATTTTCTTAACTACCATATTACTTTTCCAGATGTATCAGTAAAGCAAGATACATGATAAAATAAACTCTCTTTCCACGCACAGCATGCCAAGTTGTGACAGTTAATTAGTGAGGCCTATGTTTATCAGAGGTATATACAGAGTAAAACTATATTTTAATGTGCTTGAAAGCATTGCCAGCTTAATACATTGGGGGCTTAACAATCTAGCCAGAGCAACAACAACAACAAGATTTGCACATAGTTAGGCAAGGGGTGATGAAGATTAGCGCTCTGTAAATACAGATGCATTTTCTCAGGGGGAGCAAAAAATATGTGTTTTTAAATGCTGCCAAATTCTGCTACTTTGGAGAACTCCACACTCAGTCTGTTCAAGAGAGATAAGTGCTTCCAGTGTTTACAGTGACTGGATTAAAACCGAAGCGAGACTGCAGGTAGCATCGTCTACTATGAAAGGTAAGTGAAAGAGAGGGCCCGCTCTCAATGAGACCCAATGAGACCGACTACAGCAGACTCTCAGGGCTGGGGCTCAGGGAGAAGGAGCGGCATTATCTTTTACCTGTGCCAGGTATTTCGTTGCCCTTTCAAAAGTGGGGTTCTGCGGGGAGCGGGGGGATGGCAGGGGAGAGAAGTGTGCGACTGCCAGCCTGACGGGCTCACGCTCCGGAAAGGAATGCAGTGCCAAGACACGATCGGTAAGGTCATTAGCATGTTAAATCAGGCTGAGGGTGGGAACAGGGTGTCTCTCGACGGAAATACATGCAAACAGGCTCAGACGTGCGTGTGGAGTCATGAAAACACAACTGCATTCTGGGGATGAAAAGCAACACCAACCGTTTCGACTCCGAATGCCCGCCTGACAGGAGTGCGTGAAGGACTGTGCTCCCGTTTAAGTCCTCTCCCCCGCTTAGTGCAGAAAATGCAGCGCAAACAGAGGCCCAATCGTACGCCACATGCCACACGCACAAAGGAGGGGAAGAGGGGACGTGCAAATATATACCTGTTGGTGTGAAGGTAAAAGACGGGACTGAAAAATCAAAACAAAATGGAAACCCGTTATTAAGCTGAAGAGAGAAAGGGAACATATCACATTAGTATAAATCAAGCAGACAGCTGAACATAAAACAAATGTAAATAACGAAGCCAGTAGTTCTGACACGCTGATGGATGAGTCAACCCCAATCCGAGGTTGAAAAAGAAGCTTGTGTCTGCAGGTACCATGCTGGAGAGTCTGACATTTCATACACGGGGGAGTGGGGGGGGGGGGTTAGCCTGAGAGTGACCCTGCATTTATGAACCCAGACGTAGCTCAGGGCTTCAGTAAACAAGACCCTCGACTAGTAATCATTTGCAAACACGGGGTGATGGATGGATTCTGAAACAAGTATTACCAGGGTCTTGCTTGAACCTTATCTAGCTATCTAGAAAGTAAATGCTTATTACAGTGGACTAATAGGCGTGCTTTAATTATTCATTCTGAAAAGAAAAAAGACAGCGTGTGGGGCGGGTTGAAAGAGAGGAGAACGAAGGGAGGGAGAGGAGAGGAGAGAGAGAGAGAGAGAGAGAAACAGGACCCCAAACAAGCAGAATTATAAGATCACTGTTTCATCGCCAACAAATGCCTGAAGCCTTATCATATAAAAAGCATAGGACTACAATTTTAGCATCACAGAAATTTGTGAATGCAGATGAGGAAAATGGGAGATTTTAAACTTCCACTTCTCTATGACAACTGATACTTAGAAGCTCCCTCGGAGCAGACTAAACCCTTCTTTTAATGCCATGCTAGAGGCTGAACAAGGGAACAGTAGCACCCTTCGGAAAACCTCCCTCTCTCTGCAGTTAGCAACCTTCATCTAACCAATAATGTCTGAAATCCAGTATCAGCCTTGCCTCCACCACCTTTCATATCAGGCCCCACTCCTGGGTGTTGGAATACTTAAGCGATTTCCCTAGCATTTCATTTGGGGAGGTTGGGGTGGCGGGGAGGGCGCGCACACTGGCTCCTTGTCCGAGCTTCTCCCACTAGTGAAAACGAAACGGTGTCCTGATCAAGCGAGCACAGCACGTGGAACCTAAACAGCTCCCCTTACGATGCGAGTTGTCTTAAAAAGAAACATGCATGTGAAGCTGAGGGCCGTTGGGGCTGCAAAGAGAAACGGCTGCCTTCCAGACAGCTGCCACTTCTTCCCGCACTACTTTGTCTCTGAACAGACACATCAGAAATGGCGCAAACAACAGCCGCAATGCTGGGTACCCAGTTCACAGCCTGGCCTTCCTGGGCAGCACGGCAGTGCCGTCCTAAGAACTCCATCGTGTTTCCTTTCCATAGGGTCTTTCCCCAGATCCCATGACGTTTAGCTGCCTTTATAAACTCAAAGCCGTGGTCTCACATGTCCATAAGGTGCATCTAAGTAGAGACATAGGGGACAAAAGGGACATTGGAAACAACAGCTCTTCAAGCCGGAATGGAGGGCTTGCACATGACCCTGCAATCACAAGGACACGGGGATCTTGGAGAGGCCCCTGCCTTTACCACTCGCTAACTGCTCAGCCCATTGTGAGGATGCGAAGAAGAGAAGGAAAGAGGTCAGCCAAGGGAAATGCTCACAGCTAGCACACCGAAGGACAGCTTCATTTTCACAGTACCAACTGCATGCTAAACTCTCTGTGTACATAGGGATGCCAGTGTGTGTGTGTGTGTGTGTGTGTGTGTGTGAAGGGGGAGGGGAGAGGGCCGAGGGGAAGGCCCTGTTAACCCCTGTGACAATCTGGCTTGGCTTGGTGTTTTATAGGTCAGCAGACTTCTCATGAAAAGATTCCACTTCTGTTTCTCTTAAAATAACTGGCATTGATTTTGGCATCGAAAATGTATCCAGGGATCTCAAAATGCACTATTTTTTTAACCGCATAGAAACAGAATTATGATAAGCGCCGACGAGATGAGGCAGCATGAGGAAAGCGGAATCACATGCTCATCCGGTTACACTTGTGGTTATGTTCCGGGGCTTCTGCTGAGGCACGAGCAAGAGGGCAGGAGGCTGGGATTCGTGTCGTTTGTTTTGCAGAAGGAGCACAGAGTCACTGGCCAGCATGCTGGAAGCCCGGGCACCGGGGAGAGGGAGAGGGTCAGAAAGAGGGGAGGGCTGCAGGTCACATTGGAAGATCTCAAGCAAAGGTCGGGCACCACACCACTTTATGCTGCATCAAAATAAGCAATGGAGCATCGTCACTTACTGGCTATTTAAAAAGATGAAATCTATTGGGCAGGGCTTTGATTGAGAAGTCAAGAGCGTCTACAGATACACGCTACTTCCCCCACCCCATTCAAATAGGACTTCAAACTGACTCTCCCTCAGCCTGCCCCCTCTGTACTCACCCACACACGCCATCTCTGCCGGCTTGTTCGAGCAAAGGCTGGCTTCCTGTGCCTATCTGGGTGGTTCCCTCAAGTACCCTCTGGGACTCTTGACAACTGGCTTCGGGATAGGCTTAAAAACCTACACAAGGGTGCTAATGCCAGGCCAAGCACCTCCAGGAGAAGACACCTCCAGCCGCCGAGCCGCTGGCACAAGGCCCGCTGCTTGGTTTTCCTGGGACTGGACAGGGATTTGTGGTGCCTCTGTCTGGCCGTGACCCCTTGTGGGCACAGGGCAGGTACTCTTACTCCGACTCTTCTTCTTCCGGGCGGTTCTTATAGATGCAGAGTGACGCACGGTGCGTGAAGGAGAGGTTTCGGTGGGAGGGGACACTCTGACCCTGCCCGACAGGGATGCAGGTACATCATGAATGACCCAGCAGAGGTCATGTCAGGAGCACGTGAGCAATTAAAAATGGGCCGTGAGGGCATCTCTCTCAGTAATCTTCTTTGAATTTCCTTTGCAGCAAAGCAAACATACTTTATTAAACTAGCCTACAGGTACGATAGCCGGGGTGATTACGTAATTTATTCTCCAAACCAGGACAACCGGGAGAGCAAACCAGAACACTATAAATAACTTGCCTGGACTGCAGGCAGTCCACCGGGACTGTCTCCAGAAAGCTAGGAGTTCTTGTCACTCCTGCCCTCGCTCCCATCTGAAGCCCCCCGGTGATGGAAATATTTGGGAGAAGGGAGGGGGAAAAAGCGAGAGAGATTATCTATCTGGCAGTGTTGACAATGTCCCCAGAGGACACGCACGAGATTTCCACAGAGTCGGAGGATTTGTGGCGGAGCTGCCTGGGAAACACCTTGGCAACTGGTTTCATCGTTAGAAAGGTTAGATAGCAGCAGCCAAGCAAACTTTCCTTCTGACAACTGCAAATGAGCTAGCGACAGCGTCAGCATCACGGATTAACAGCCCAGCTGTGTCCAGGTCGCATGTTCAATACTACACCTCCTCTCTCTGAACCCCGCTTGGGCCACACCGGCAGGATGTGGGGAAAAGGAGCTGTCAAACTAAGCAAATGGTCCTGTTTCTCCCTTGCCTCGTAATGGCACCCCCTTAAGACTAGGAGCGGTTTTTCAAATACAGTGAACCCTCGCCACTTCACGCTTCGACTTCCACGGCTTCACTCTATCGCGGTATTTGCGTGACAGCGCATGCTCTGTCATTACTGCCACTGATTGGCTCATATTGTACACACTTGATGCCATAAATAATATAATAAATAATAAATGATAATTGTAACGTCCAAAATGTTTTACTGTATTTTCCCTTTTTCGTTTAATAAATTGGGTAATGCGAGTGTAATGGTGACTAAAGGGTGTTTTTTCATGTCCTCTATGCTCTAACTACGAAAATATTTGATTTACAAATAAGGAATCCTACTTCGCGGAATTTCATTTATCACGGTAGGGTCTAGAACCGATTAACCGGGATAAACGAGGGTTCACTGTAACTGTATTTATAATTCTGTGCCCAGGAGATTAAGATATACTCAGGAACTAAATAGTAAAACCACTTCCTAGGAGCAGAGGGCAACAGGACAAAAATTATGTCTATATCAACTGGCTTAACATATGCCTGTGCACGTAAGAAGTACTTTCAATAGGATACACATTCACATACATACGATCACACACAGAGTTATGTCTACTTGAAAGTAACTGATTCTATAACTAGTCAGGCCTAGATCTAGTACTGATCCTCAGGTGGCCTGACTATGTGAAAATAACCATAATATAAAAATACATGCCGAAGTATTAAAACAGCTTGATACAGGATCTCTACGATAATGAATCGTTGAAAAACACCCTTTACAACCGAGCTTTCTGCAGGCATACTAAACTACGGAAGGCTAGTACCTTTCCGGATGCCCGCGTAGGTGCTGGTAAGTCCGCTCCTCTTCTTGCGGTGTCGGTAGAGCCAGATACTGAAGACCATGAGGATGATCCAGCAGGCCGCCCCGATCCCGCCGATGAACGCGGGCTGCTTCACGACGTCCGAAATCTGCTGAGCCAGGCTGACTTGGTCTTCAGGTGACACGGGGTTTCCATGAGAATCTGAGAAGGCATGTGGTGAAGAAGGGGAGGTTAAATCTGAACGGAATACCGCGCGGCACACGTATGAGAGCAGAGCGAGTCACTGTCAATATTGTGTTGAAGCTCGGACCGTGACTTCTGGTTTTCGGTCTTCAACATCCCCACAGTTAATCCAAAAGCAGAGCACAGCGTCAGCAAAGCGGTGCGATTCTGTTCGTTCTCTGCAACTCCCAACCCGGGAACACACTGGAGCGCAATGGGCCTCTTAGGACTCTGGGAAACTCTGTCGGTTTCAGTTTCATGAGACGGTGCTGAGAAAACCACACCAACGGACCCTTGAAGGTGAAATACTTCTAATGCAAATGCACAGAAAGGAAGGGATACCTAATGTTTTTTTTTAATTTTAATATTGTATTGTATGAAGCCTAATAGTTACAAAATATTATCATTTTAACATGTACCTAATACAAAAACTATTGAGATTTTTTTCCTTCTCTTGGAATCTTGGAAATCTAGGAAGTATTTTTTTAAATCATTTTATTGGGGGCTCATACAACTCGTATCACAATCCAGCCATCCATCCATTGTGTCAAGCACATTTATACATGTATTTCCCTCATCATTCTCAAAATATTTGCTTTCTACTTGAGCCCTTGGGGATACCTAATTATTTTTTAAGGAGCCTTTAAAAATCGCATTTTAAGGCGTGGGTGTTCAACTCAATGACAGTGGACTGGGTTTGTATTTGGAGTCCCTGGGTAGAGTTGGTCGATGCATTCAGCTGCTAACTGGAAGGTTGGAGGTTCAAGTCTACTCAGTGACACTTTGGAACAAAGACCTAGTGATCGACTTCAAAAACATCTCAGGCTTGCAAATGCTGCGAACACAGTTCTACTCGGACAAACTTGACATTGGCCTGGGTCAGAACTGAATCCATAGCAACTAGTTTTAATAAGCAGGTATTAACAGGATAGAAACTTCTCTAAATCTCTACCACCACCCCAAACTTAATGCCATGGACTGGATGCTGAATCACCACAACCCCGTATGCCAAGGTAGAACTGTCCTATGCGTTTCAGAGATGGCAATGTTTCATGGGATAAGAAAGCCCTGTCTTTCTCCCTCAGAGGGGCTGGTGGTTTCGAACTGGCCATCTTGTGGTTCGCAGCCCATCACATAACCACTACACCACAAGGGCTCCTATAAAACTTCCAAAATAACCCCCAATAAAGGGAAACTATTATTTACTCTATGAGGTAGATATTGGAAAAAGGCATATGTGGGTGTATACTTACATGCCCTCTGATAAAGACCATATTTAACCGACTGAAATATACATCTTTTGGCTATACACGCTGATTCCCCATCAAAACTAAAATGCCGGATTCTTAAATACAACAAAAAATTAAGATTATGGTAACACTGAAAGAACATGAATCACCTTAAAATAATCATAATCATGGCCAGCCACATATAAGAGAGGCCCCTTAAGATATGCAAAATAATTATCAAGCAAAATAATTATGCACAGCCAAAAGACTAATTGTTTTCTGTTAACTGTTACAATGAAAAATTGATGAACTGCATGGCGATAAGCTAAACCTATTTTCCAATTATGTGTGAGATCCACTAAGATATTCTGTTTTCAAGCCCATCCTTACATCCAGTCACATAGAGACGGCTGCACAATATTTGTAGAAACTGGAGGCTGTTGCTCTATCGTCAAACCAACATCCTACTCTGTTGGCACGGGGTGCTGCCAGTTCTGAGGCTGCCCAGTGGGCAGAGTTCCCGTTTCTGCTGCAGTGGAAATGTTCTTCCCCCACAACATCTGGTGAAACAAGAAGGCGTTTGCCCATTTTTCCATTAGGATTCGCGCGTTCTTCCAGTTCTTAATTCATCTGACTCTGAAAATATTCTGTGTTTGTAACCTGTTTTAGAATAAAAATGTTTGTTCCAAACCCAAAATACTTTTTTTCCCTAGACAAATAATTGGTATCACTTATTATAATAATTTGTAAATTATCAAGAGTTCATGCGGGAGGGGGGAGCGTGGAGGGACGGGAGAAAACGAGGAGCTGATGACAGGGGCTTACGTGGAGAGCAAATGTTTTGGAATGATGAGGGTCACGAATGTACAAATGTGCTTTATACAATTGATGTATGTATGGATTGTGATAAGAGTTGTATAAGCCCCCAATAAAATGATTAAAAAAAACTGGTATACACAAAAAACAAATAAAGTCAAGTCCAACTCATTGTGACCCTGTAGGGGAGAGTAGAACTATCCACAAGACTTCGAAGGCGAGATCCTTTCCTGAAGGGGACTGCCGCATCTTTCTCCTGGGGACTAACTGGTGGCTTTGGAGTGCTGGTCTTTCAGTCAGCAGTTAACCACGCCTGCTAGGAAAATACAGGCAGCATTTAAGAACTGAATCTTCCTAAGGAAATTAGTAACCTCTCGATGTAAAATGGTCAAACCGTTACGTGTGCACGCGCGTGTTTCGTCTGCCTTCTTCTTGACCAGAACTCCAGATTTCTTTCTATACATGGTCAACGCTGAAAAAAACGTATTTTCACAGGCAAGCAGTCAGCTGCCTTCAAGTGTTTGCGGACTGAAAGTTTTAGTTCATGTCCAGACTCTTCTATCTCGGGTTACCGAGAGCACTTTGTCCTCTGAACGTTCACTAAGCAGACAGGTTCTCTTTTTTCCTATTGCACCCTTTGTATCGAATACGTTTATAGATTTCATGGCTGTTTGCGCAAGGTGAAGTTGGGGAGCTTCAGATGTTATGGAGACAGCCAAGAGAGGGTCTGCGCAAGCCAGCAGATGGGCTGCGCAGACTACAGTGCGCTGTGACTAATGAATTACAGTGGCCCCTCTGTGCCAGCCTTTGTCTCCGTGCAGCTGAGGCGGTATTAGGATATGGAAAACTGGAACACGTGCACATTGTAAAGAAAACCACTTTGACCCTCAATCCCATGATTTTCATCTGAAAGTCAATAAAATTATAGACGGCTCTTCTCCAATTCCGCTTCCAAAATTTAGAGCTGAAAAAAAATCACGTGTTACAAAAACACTGTCAACAACATTGACGGTATATAAGGACTCACGATGTCACTTAGAATGTCAACTTTAAGATAGTAATACTGCTATTTTACAAAAAGAGACACATACTGGGCAGCCAAGTATTTCCTCCTAAAGAGCTTCCCTCCTTCCATATTCTGTATAACATTGTGGCCGAGGCATGATCCGTTTACCAGGTTTTGTGTCTGGCTTGAATAGTGACAATAAATATATTTTTGTTTCTGAAGTGTATCATGGATTTTTTTTCTTCTTTAAAATTGTGCATATGTCACTTTTTAAAGCTATGATAAATATGATTTTGGCCCATGGCTCTCCGCTAAAGAGAGAGCATGCTTCTCATAGCAGAGTAAGGCTGGCAGGCAGCTCCCTGGACGGTGACTCCATTGGACCACGCCTTCATTCACCTCTTTGGGGAAGTGCATGACTGAGCTCTGGGGAGAAATGAGGTGCACTATTTCCAGACCTGCACCTCAAACCTTCTCCTCCCTCGGTGTTTCCCTCTCTTTGAGCCTTGGCAGGGCTGCCTGGAGGAAGGAAAGCCTCTACAGCTTAGGGCCCTCCGTGCCCATGCAGCAGAGCCCCGTCCCCCGACAGGCACCGGGCTTTCGGCAGATCCCAGTGCTTTAAGGCACAGACTCTCCCAAGTGTTAACTTTTAGAGCAGATAGCAAAGGGACTTCAATGATGGTTTCCAAATGGGATGTAAAGTTCTTTAGGCATAGCAAGAAAATTTATCCAAAGCCAAATGTTTCTTATTTTGGTTTTGAAATAATTTCTAGGATGTATCATCAAGATTATCAGCATATCAAAAAAGAGAAGACTACGGGCGCGAGGAGGGAGGGGGTAATGAGGAGCTGCTACCAGGGGCTCAAGTAGAAAGCAAATGTTTTGAGAATGATGATGGCAACAAATGTACAAATGTGCTTGGCACAATGGATGTATGTTTGGATTGTGATAAGAGTTGTATGAGCCCCCAATAAAATGATTTTTTTAAAAAGAAGACTACATCCTAGTTGTGAAATACAAAGATTCATGTCTGATTCTTCTCCCTAATGTACCAATTGACACAAATGTTACTAAAGCTCAACTACTTCTGATGAGAAACCCAGACACCAAGTAGACTAGAGGTCATTTTAAATGTTACCTTTTTTAATATCTCACCCCCACCCCCACCCTGCTCCTTTGCAGGGGAAGGAGCCCTAGTGGCACAGTGGTAACTACTGAGCTGCTAACTGCAAGGTCAGCAGTTTGAAACCACCGGCTGATCTGCAGGAGAAAGATGGGATTTCCTACTCGGGGAAACTCACAAAGGCAGTTTTACCAATTGGGGCTGACTCGATGGCACTGAGTTTGGATTGGTCTTCTTTTCATTTAAAATAGATTTTGCTACTGTCTCAGGTATTGCTCTAGATTTTATCAATTGTCACTAATGCATATGTATCTTATGTTCATATTATGCTTACCTTATGCCCTTAGTAAAATGTGGTGAACAGAACTATGCCCCCCCCCACCACACACACACACATACCCCTCTTCCCTGCCTTTTGAAAGTAAATTCATGGGAACTTTTTTTGGAAGGACAATTATATTTAAATTTCCAAGCAACTGCAATATATCATATTTCAGTACACCTCAGATATCTCAATCTAGCTTGTAAAAATAAAATCAATTACAATTTTTATAAACACCAAATAAAGCTATAACTTACATATTGCTATAAACTTCTAATACCTAAAGTTTTACATGGAAGATTTTCTTGTTTTTCTTTTTCTTTTGTTTTAATTCAAACAACTGCAAGCCCCATGAGGGTACAGACCATCTTTTTTGTTCTTGATGTTGGATTTTTGTACTCAAGTAGCAATATTGATTGAATAAATACTACAGAAATATACAGACCAGTAGAATATTATTAGGTTACTGCCTAATGCTGATGGGCTTTTCCTTTAAAGCCTATCTAAAATGCATGCATTGTCCTGGATAGACTCCCAGGCAGAACAGATGGAGGTGTAGAGGAATGGGGGGAGAGTGGGAGCATGCCCAAGACATAGGATTGACAGCGTTCATGGACATTTACCTTGGCAGCACAGATAGTCCATGGAGTGTGGTGGGGCATAAAAGTGGTAAAGTTATGAAAACATCTTAGTTCTAGCCAAACACCTGGAGTGGATGACTTCCTGGGCCTGGAACTCAGGACCACTGTCTCATTAGAAAACAAGGTCAATTGCCCTAACACAGTCCACAAAGACAAGGATCTCGCTCCTCTTTGGTGAGCAGGGACTGGGTCTTAACGGGTCATGAGCAGCCATCTACCTACAGCACAACTCGTGGTCCCTCCCTGGCCGTACGAAAGGCGATGCATGGAAATAATAATTGCGATATACTAATGGACCAGGAAAAGAGCAAGCTCCCTGACATCAGAAGGAATTGATGGCACCCAGGTACCCAGACCAACCGCTGTGGAAAAGGGTCACAACAGAAGGTCCTGAGCTGATTGGGGGGGAGGGCGGGCAGTATGGAACAAAACTTAAGATCATGAAAGAGGCTGAGCTGACTAGTCAGAGAGAGACTGGTGGAGCCCGCAAGGCTATGATGGCTGGTAGTCACCCTTCAGGTCTGGATAGGAGCTCACGCCACAGGTTAAAAAAGCAGCCAAACAATAGACAGATCTACCCGGGGAACAGTGACACTAGGGAGGTGTGCACACTTTAGAACATTCACCCACTTGAGAGCAAAAGGCCAGCAGTCACCCGAGGTCAAAGTTCAGAAGCATCGGGAAACAAGGAGCAATGGGAACAGGAAGGGCTGGGAGGAAGTGGGATCAGTGCGTCATACGGTGGGGATCACAGTCCGTGACATGAAACAGAAGGTGTGCACGTTATTGAATGGGAAAGGGGCCTGCTAGTTAAACTCTCACCCAATTCCCAGTTAAGTTAAACTGTAAAGAAGAAAACGAAAAAAGAAAATTGTGCCGTGATACGCTGAAGTCTAATTTTTTTTGGTTTACTTTTGTTTTAAGGTTAGCACCATCACTGTAGAAGCCACATTCTGTACCCTGTTCAACTGAAAACAGCTGCTTGGTTGTGTACCAAAATCAAACCCCTTGATCATTAAAAAGCAAGAGACGTTCCACCGGGATCCGTGTGGACACTGACCTAATTGGATGAACTGCGGCTCGCTCTTCACCCCGGGCCCGGCTCCGGTGCTGGCCGCCACTTCCACGCTGTATCGGACCCCCGGCACCAGAGACGGGATGACCACGGAGAAGGTGGAGCCGTCCACGGACTTGTTGATGTGGTAACGCGTTTCGTTGCCCAGGCACCAAACCTGTAAGATGATGAAGGGTGTCAAGTGGGCGAGTCACCTGAATCCACACGGAGATCGTACACCTAGATCTCGCTCTGGAATTCATCCAAGGACGCTTCCCAAGTCCATTTCCCTAGGGCCCAGCTCAGCAAAGACTTCCCTGCTCAAGCCTAGTGTCAGCAGTCATGTCAGGACAGACTTCTTTATTTCCTCTTATACTTTAATAATACTGTTATAACAATACAATATTTTTCTTTTGTACTAGAATAATAAAACGTGTCATTTTGACATTCTTCACACGTACAATTCGGTGGCATGAATTAGGTCAATCTGAATTAGGTCCAACCATCACCATTATCCATTTCCAAAGTTGTTCACCACTCGAGGGAGGCTCACCGTCCCTTAGGCCCTGAGTTCCCTTGGCCCGCTCTCCTCCCTTGTGCTCAACTCTGCTCTCTATAGCCTTGAAAGCAGTGGTTCTCAACCTTCCTAATGCCTTGACCCTTTCATACAGTTCCTCGTGTGGTGGTGACCCACAACCATAACATTATTTTCATTGCTGCTTCATCACTGTCATTTTCTATTGTTATGAATCAAGTGACCCCTGTGAAAAGGTCATTCGACCTCCAAAGGGGTCGCGACCCACAGGTTGAGAACTGCTGCTTTAAAGGATGCTATCAGCTAAGTGTAGGGCATAAATGCAAATTTTCTCTGGAAGTTCAGGGTTTCTGTCCATTCAAAAGACTGGTTTTCACTTCCTTTGTTCACACTGAAATGGGTTGCTGAGAGTATAAAAAGAACCATACGGAAAGCTGTGTTCACCCAAATAAAGAAAAACGACCTCCGCACTTATCATTTAAAAGTGTACATAAAGAAGAGCAAGACCCCTGAAGCCTCGGACTGATCCCTTGGCTGCAACAAGGGCTCCACCGCAGGACTCTCGGGAGGCTGACGCGGCCCCAGCAGGGTTTCACCCTGCGGCCTGGAGGCCCAGGGTCGCTCTGAGTCAGGATGCCCTGGCGCTTAGCAACCACAGCTGCTTGGCAGGACGTTCAGTCTGGGAGACGAGTCCGTTTAGAAATGTAGGGCAAACTGGTACAGATAGGAACTGAGAATCCAGGGAATCCAGGGCGGATGAGCCCTATAGGACCAGTAGTGTGAGTGGCAAAACAGGGAGGGTAAAGGGAGAATGGGTAGGAAAGAGGGAACCGATTACATGGAACTGTGTGTGACCTCCTCCCTGGGGGACA